CTTACAACAATGAGAAATCAAACAGACATTACCAAACAACACTGGATGCTTTTTGTTGATCAGAAAAAAGCCTTTGATATGGTAGATCATACATATCTGCAAACAGTATTGGAAAGGATAAACTTTGATATAAGATTTAGAAGTGTAATTGAAAATTTGTTCTCAAACCAAGAAGCACATATTATGGATTCTGAAGACATCTCAAGCACCTTCAGAATAGAAAGAGGAGTCCGCCAAGAAGATCCTCTCTCTCCTCTTCTTTACGTTATAGCTTTTGAACCATTACTAAAAGCAATAGAAAATGAAATCCAAGAAATACCAGTTCAAGGACACTATTTCAAAACAGTAGCTTATGCAGATGACCTAACAATAGGGATAGGATCTCCCTCAGACTGGAACCGAGTACTAGAATTATTTTATATATATGAAAAGGCTTCTAATGCTAAAATTAACGAAAGCAAAACAAAACTAGTACCACTTATGGTTATGGCCAGAAGAGTTGAGCTCAAAGGTGACAGAGTAGGAAGCAATTACAATACTAGGTTATGACATCTATTCAGATAGAACACCCAAAAAAGACCTATAGACCACGGTCATCACAAATATTAAAAATCTTACAGACAAGTTTTCTCAAAGAAACCTTTCATTTAGAAAAAAAATCCTAGTAGCAAACTCGCTTATACTTGCACGAATATGGTATGCAGCATATCTTTTACCTCTAAGCAGAAAGCAAGTTGCAGAAATTAACAGGCTAATCACTATTTGGATCAAAAATAATTCAAGAATGCTTCCCAGGTACTTAACCTTTCAGTTATCATACCAATATGGAGGTCTTCAAGCCCCAGTAGTTAGCAATATGCTTGATGCAAGAATGCTAACTGTATGGATAAGACTAACAACTGGTGCTGTCTATGGGCAAAAATTGAACGAAGCAGAATTTCTTCCTCTTTAAGACACAAGAGGGACATTACAGCACTACAAGCACTAACATCAATCTCAATTAGATCTAAAGCCTGGCCAACAGAATGGAAACCATACCTGGCAGTATAGAAAAAAATTCAGTGAAAAATTAAAGCGAATCACAGCTGGCCTTAGAAGATAGAAGACCTCATGGTTTACGAAAAACAAAATATGGACTTTACAGTAAAAAATCTAATGGGAATTCTAAGAAAACAAACAATTGCTCCAACAAATACCATACTTTCGACAGAAATTAAGATGGACTGGCTATTTACTAAAGCTGCCAATAACAAGAAAAAAGATATATTATGGTGCATATACCACAAGGCCTTCCCATTAGGATACCGGCTTCGACATATATCTACAACAGAATCAGGAGATTGTCTTTGGTGCCCAGATGAACTCCAAACAATAGAACACTTCACACTTGAGTGCAGTACAAGTAAAAGAATATGGAATGAAGCTTATATTATAAGCTTCTAAATATTGAAGAAACACAAATTCCATCTTCAATTGAAGAAATTTTCACAGCAAAAAACCTTAAAGATCCTAAGTATCATAAAGCAGCTCTTTGGCTTCACACAAACACAATCTATGAAATCTGGTGCTGGTTTACATCACATAAGTGGGGCAACTCAATAATATCAGAAACAGTAATACTCTTATATATTAGAAATTACATCTCCAAGGATCTAAATAGCAATCCACAGATAAACTCTATATATAAATATTTATAATGTATATAAATATAAAATAATTTCATAAATAAAAGAGCGCTACATGCGCCTGGAGATGGATATATAAAAAAAAAAAAAAAAAATTTATAGTTATGAATAATTTTTAAAAAACTTTAATTTTTTTTAATTTTTTTATATTATATATAATTTATTATTTAATTAATAAATTGTATAATAAATAACTATTATATATAATAACAAATAAATTTAATATTACTATTATTTATTTAGATATTTTAATTTTTTGGTTTTTAAAAAAAATATATTTATAATATATTTATTAGGATATTTATTTTTGGTGCACCCTGCACCGTGTGCGGGGTTCAGCTAGTTAATGTATCACGTGGTTTGACGATCATGTGTAAACGACATAGATTATCGTGTAACACCCCTGTTCACACCCCGCATTTTTAATTATAGTAACGGTATATAGAACCCAGATCATCGGCAAAAAATTTAATTGATGCGGAGTTAATTTTAAGTGACACCGTTGTATTGTTTGCCTAATTCAGTAATTATATCTGAAAATTTAATAAATAAAGAAGCATAACAAAAATAACATCTTTCACTTGGCGTAGTAGTCAAATAAATACACAAAAGTGTAGCCGATATTTTAGTTTGTTTATTAAAGAACGATTAGATTTGTTTGTTCGCTGCAAAAATAAACACTTTTTATATTGGAACATCGTTTGTCTGTCAGCACAACTTGTACTGGAACCATTGTTTGTAACTTGTAAATTACTACGCATTATATTTATAATTAGAAATACACTATCTACAGTCATTTAACAATGTCCCAAATCAAATATTCCACTTTCCAACCATATTCATATCAACAACCTGCAAGTTCTATAAGTTCTAATGTTGAAGTTGACTGTGTTAATGACATGTGTTTAGATAATGAATCTGACGAATGTTTAGATAATGAGTCTGGTGAAAATTTAGATAATGAGTCTAGCGAACATTTAAATAATGAGTCACATGAATTAGATAATGAGTTTGATGAACAATCAGATGTTGGATTTGACAAACAAGTAGAACTTTATGAAGGTATGTAAGCATTTATAGCTTTGTTTTTAGGTGTCAAATAAAGATGAATTTTAAAACTTCGTGTTTTTCAGGACAAACTTTTCAAACTATCGAAGATGCACATGTTGCAGTTGAGACTTTCACACATTCAAATGGATTTGGAATTAGAAAAGGCCGTGTTGAAAAAGATCAAAGCAATGGTCATGAAATTTCAAGAACGTTCCTATGCCGTCACACTGGAAAGTCGTTATATGAAAAAAAATCATATAAAACTGAGGAGTCAGAATCATGCCGAACTGATTGTAAATGGAAAGTTAACGTATATTGGAGCAAGTGTTTAAGTAGATATCATATATCCACCTTTACAGATGTTCATATCGGCCATACTCCTGATCCAACCACTATTAAATTTATTCCAAAAAACCATAAACTTACCAATAAAATGTTGGAAGATATTAAATACTATACGATTGTTGGAAAGCTTAATGCAAGTTCACAATACTGGCTTCTTTCTGGAAAGTATAATGTCCTAATCCAGTGTCGTAATTTTTTTTTTTTTTTTTTTTTTTACGATTTAAGCATACTTTATTTAAATCTACAAGTTAAAGTACATATTTACACAGAATATTAAGGCTAATAGTTAT